CCGCGGAGCGATTGGCCTACACCTTGCGGAACTGCACGCCGTTGGGGCCCAGCCCGACGTCCCGCAGCCTCGCCCATACCTGTCGCCACAAGTCTGCATTCGGGCGGCGTGAGGCGGTGCACCACCTCTCACCAGCGGCCACTCCATCAATGACGGACTGCCTGTCGACATGCAGGACCAGCGGCGGGAGGGCGTGCGCCAAGGCGCGCTGAATGGCCTGCAGCTCGGCGTGGTCAATGTTCTGGTAGCCTCAGCGAACGGGGCGGGCGCAAGCGCCGCGCGACCACTGTCTTCGGCGACCCACGCCTCCCACTGCTTCAGCTCCGCGTCGCGCCCCGCCATGGCCTGGACATCCCGGGGGCACACCACTCCCGCGTCGATGATGTGGCCCTCCCTCCTGACAAATGTGCGGCAGGACGGCCACGTCCACCCCAGGCGATGAGCAGCCAGCACGCATGAAGAGGCTGGCCCCATCTGAGCTGACTGCGACTCTTGGGATCTGCTGTCGCTTCCAGACCTCCGACATGGTGGGAGACAGTCCTGGGTGGTCCCACACGTGCTCGGCCCAGGCTGCCATCGGCGCTGACGTAAGGGCGGGGCCAGGATCCTCGCCGAAGCACGCCAGCCTCGGCGTCGTCGAGCGGTGCCTCGAACGACCGGGCAGCGCTGCGTTCACCATGCTCCAGAGCTGTGCGACCTCCTGGGGAGTGAGGGCGGTTGCCCTGTGCCCGTAGGTGGCCGCTGGCAGGAGGCCCACCTCGGCCCACCTGGCCCCCTTCTCTTGGCCTTGACGACCAAGCGCTGGCGCTCGGCGAGCACTCGAAAGCGACCAGCTCGCTGAGGGCGGTCGCGAGCCGGGCGCTGGCGAGACAGGCGGCGGCGCGCCATTGCAGCCTCCAGCCCGCGGCCTTTCCAGCCTTTCCTGTCGATGCCAGGCTGGCTCGCCTGCTGCTCTCCACGTGGATGCCGAGCCTGGCGAGCCTCCTCCCCAGCGCGTGGCCCACCCAAGCGGAGGTGGCGAGGCCTCCTGACTTTCCCGGCACCTCCCCTCGGTTCACGTCAAGCAGTGGCGAAGCGTTTTGGCTCGCCTATAGCCCTACCAAACAATGTTCTAAGAACCTTGTGTGGTTTCCACGGAATGTTCTTAGAACATTTCTGGCGGAGTCTGTCTTGTATTATCCCATCGGGTTTATGTTCTGAGAGCATTGTTTTTGTTCTTAAAGCATTTTGGGGTTCTAAGAACATTTCGTGGTAGGACTAGGAGTGCCAGGACGGTCCGCACAGACCACGGCGCGCCGTCGGCCATGTCGTCCGCCACTCGCCAGGCGCTGCCACGGGCCCCCACGCTGTTGCCATCCACGTACTTTGCCAGGCCGAGCTGCGGCCAGCGCGACGCCAGGGCGTCGCAGGGCTCGAGGAGGACGAGGCGCAGGGCAGCAGTGGCGAACCGGCTGCCAGGGACGATCGTGGAGATCACCAGGACCGTCCTGCTGTGCGCTCCCTCCGCCGCGATAGTCTGGACAGCGGAGTAGCCGACCAGCAGCATGCGGAGCACGCGCCCAGGAAAACCCCATCGAACACCCCAGGCCCAGACGTGCTTCAGCCGCACCCGTTCGGAGCACTTGACCAGGTCCTCGGACAAGTGCGTCGCCTCCTCCTCCAAGAGGTGCTGCCACGCCGCCTGCTCTGAAGATCCCCCGGCGCGCGCCCAATCCCAATCCCGCACTGCGGAATTTCAACCACTCGGTCGCGAGAGGGTAGCGGAGGGAGGGTCTCTCAGTAGCGCACCAGCATGGGCATCTTCGCGATCGGGCGGCGCCCGCCCAGCTTCTTCGGGATCATGAAATAGTCAGGAGGGGAAAAAACACACAGACAATTAATCGTCGATTCCCCAGAACATATGGGAAAATATGGGAAGTGGGGGGGAAGACAATAATCCAGAAAATATTTGAAAATATGGGGAATCTGTTTATTTGTTTGTATTTATTTGTGTGTCCCAGGGCCCCTTCAAATAGATCAGAAGGTTCACTGCGAGGGCCACAACAGCGAGGCCTCGGCGCGCGCGAGAGCCTCCCCGACGCCCAAGAGGCACTGCCGCGAGCAGCGCTGCGGCACTCGCGGACTCCAGCGCTCGACTCCCAAAAGCCCGTGCGTGCACGGAAGCGCCCAGCAGCCCGGCGGCAGTCGTCCTCGGAGGGCGCGGGAGGAATCAGGGTCGTCGTCGAGGGAGCCGTCCGACCGGGCCCGAGGAAGAGCCTGCACCTGTGCAACGTGTGCCCGCCAGACTTCCTCCCCAGTCTGCAGCTCCTGCTCGCTCAAATGCGCCGGGGAGCCAGCCTCGCTGCCGTTCGCTCCCGCGGGCGTGGGCCACCGGGGAAGCGCGCTTGGGTGAACCGGTGCAGGCACTATTGTCACTCCCCGCCGCCGCCTCCTCGAGGTGTCGCCTGATCCTCGCCCGGGCCTGCTCTTGATCACCGGCCTTGGCAGCCGAGATGTCCGAGCCGAGCTCCTGTTATGGGGCGTGGAGGTCCCGGCTCGGCAGCGCCATGGGGTCCAAGGCTGCGATTCGCTGGGCCCACTGCTGCACTGTGGGAGCCCAAGCGGCGACCGTGCGCTCCGTAGCCGAGTCATTGGCTATCCACTGTGCGCGCCTCCCCAGACGTCGGCGCAGCTCTGCGCCCTGCAGGCGCGGAGCAAGGCGCGTTCTGTCGCCCAGCGGATGCGCGCCCGATGATGGGATGCCGATTCGCGGGCCGCCGTCGCTCTGGCGGGCACGCTTGTCTCGGCGCGAGTCGGGGTGTGTGCAGCGCGCCTGCAGGGGCAGGCACCCAACGCGGCAAAAACACTTGTCGAGCTGGAAACTGCCCTTGAGCCAAAATGGCTACTCTTGAGCCAAAGTGGCTACGGAGGAGGAGGCTCGAGCTGGAAACTGCCCTTGAGCCAAAATGGCTACGGAGGAGGAGGAGGGGGAGCGGTCCAGGAGGGGTGGGAAGAGAAAGGGAGAGAGAGAGGGTGGGTCGAAACTAGATTCCTTGGCCACCTCAACCAACCAACCCGACCAACCCATCCGCCAACCAGACCAACCAGCCAGCCCGCCACTCAGCCAGCCCCTCAACCCGCCCACCCCCGCCGCCTGCCTTCCGTCAACACCGAGGGGGGGGCGAAGTGCTTCTTGCGGACGAGCGGAGGAAATCACCCTCCCCGTGCCTGGCGGGGGGCAGCAGGGGGAGGCTCAATCGAAGATTGGGGCGGAGTTTCACGCCGCGGAGTTTCGGGCGCTGTCGTCGCTCTTGACTTTGCAGCGTGCAAGGCCCTTCGTTCCGCGGGAGGGCCTCGGGGAGGCCACGCGGCCCAGCATCGTCTGGGACCGCCGCCCCCTTCGGGGCGGCCGCCGCGCCCGATTTCTCAGCGAACGAGCTCCCGTCCTCGAAGTTGCCACTCGGAAAGTCCCGCGTGGGGCTCGTTAGAGGTATGATGTTCCAGCACCAGGAAAATACCGAAGTCGGAGGGTTCTCACGTGTCGTGGCCCCGGAAGGCGACACGCGTTCGACACCGTTTCGATATTTGCGGGGACTTGTTTCTGGGATTCGGTCTCTAAGTACGATGGGAGCAACGTAGTTTTGGATGCAACTCCTGGGAAGTCAAATTCTGATTTTGCACTGGTCCGAAGTCCTTATTCCCGCTTAATCCCGTTTAATCCGGCTTACTTTCGCTTCATCCGAGGCCCACTCCGGCGTAATAGCTCCCAAACGGGGCGTTATCCTCCTCAATCTTTCCGACGAACACCTCCCAGTAGTTGCCTCCTATTTTTGTGGGTGTTCGAAATTGTTTTTGGGATTCGGTCCTTAAGTACGATGGGAGCAACATAATGTGCGAGTGCCCGGCGGCCCGGCGGGGCGACCCGGGAAAGGCCACAGCGCCCAGCAGCGCGGGGCATGGCCCCCCCCGTTGGGGGCGGACGCCGCTCGCGCGCGCGCGCGCGCGTTCTCGACGGAGCGGGAACGTCTCGGGCCCCACGTGGGCATGTGGCCGTTTTTTCAAGCATTGTTCTGCCGATCGGCGCGGGCCCTCGCACCCCCCCTCCCCCCCCCCCTGGAGTACATCTTGGCTGGGGCGTGCTCCTTTACTGCTTGGGGCATGATGGGCGTCATGGCCCCCGCCGCCCCCCCTCCCCCCTCCTCAATTATGACGTAACGCCCCCCCCTCCTCCCAGTGCGCTCCAGGCACTGCCGCCGTGCGCATCGGGATCCACATAGGTGTCCGCATAGGAATCCGCTTTGGAGTCTGTTCGTCGTCGTCGTCGTTGTCGCTCGTCGCTCGTCGCTCATCGTCGTCGTGCGCGTGGACGCGGCTGGAACCTGAATTATATTCCGGGCTGATGGCGGCAATCATCTGGGGGGTGGTGCAGGGGGCCGATGACGTCACGTTTCGCGCCAGCGGCGTCTGGGAATGCTTCGGAATGACCGAGGACGGGTGGCAGCAGCATGTAGGTGGCGATTTGCCCCACAACGCCTGTGTACACCACAGTGCCTGCGTGCACCACAGCGCCTGTGTACACCACGCCGCCTATGTACACCACAGCAGCCGCGTGCAACACAGCGCCAGTATGTGCCACAGTGCCTGCGGGCACCACAGCGCTTGTGCTTGTGTGTATACCACAGCGCCTGCGTACACCACATCGGCCGTGTGCAACACAGCACCAGTGTACACCACAATGCTTGCGTGCACTATGTGCCTGTGTGCACCACGGCTCCTGTGTGCACTGGAGCAACTGTGTGCAACAACGCACCACTGTCGTATATTGAATGACAGAAAGAATCCTTATGACAAAATGGAGCGCCTGGACATTCCGCAAAAAGCAATTGTTTGATGTAGGACTCGAAAAAGGAATCCTTATGGAAACAAGAGCGGCGCTGGAATCTACGGATCCTTCTGGATCCGCCCGCATCATCCTAATTCCTCCCATCTGCGTCCAGGAGGCTCCAGCTAAATTGGCCGTCCGAGAACCAAATGGACTGATTCAACAAGAGTATTTTGCGGCGAGCGCTGAGATGCGCACGTGCGCTGCAGCGCCGACCCGCACGACAGGGGGGAAGGGTGACGCAGGAGGAGTGGGAGGAGGAGGAGGAGGAGGAGGAGGAGGAGGAGGAGGAGGAAGAGGAGGAGGAGGACGAAGCGGAGGAGGTGGAGGTGGAGGTGGAGGAGGAAGAGGGGGAAGGGAATAACGTAGCATTCTGAACACTTCCTTGGCGTGGCGTTTCTAGCTGTCCGCAGCAGATCGTCACTTACATGCTCCATGTACCTGTCTTGTGCACGCAGGCGCTGTGGTGTACACCAGCGCTGCGTTGCACGCGGATGCTGTGCTGTAGACGCGCGGTGTAGTGTGCACAGGCGTTGCGGTGCACGCAAGCATTGAGGTGTACACAGGCGCTGTGCTGCATATTTTGGTTGCGGTGTACATTTTCGCTGTGGTGTACACCGGCGCTGAAGCACCGTGGTGTGCACAGGCGCTGCGTTGCACACGGTTGTTGCGGTGTACGCGGGCCCTGTGGTGCACACGCGCGCTGCGGTGCACGCGAGCATTGTGGTGTACACATGCGCGGCGTTTTGGGGCAGATCGCCACCTACATGATGTCGCGTCGTCTTCGGCGTCGTCGTCGTCGTCGTCGTCGTCGTCGTCGTCGTCGTCGTTGTCGTCGTCGTCGTCGTCGTCGTCGTCGTCGTCTCTCGTCGCTCGTCGCTCATCGTCGTCGTGCGCGCTGGCGCGGCTGTGGTGCCCGAGCCACACGGCGGGGTGGGGGGCGTTACATCATGCCCCCCCCCCCGCCCCCTCATGACGCCTGTCATCGCCTAAAATAAAGAAACGCGCTCCTGTTTTTCGGCGTCTGTTTCGAGCGGGTGGAGCCTCCCCCATATGGACGCACTGCAATAAACAGTCGCACTAAGCAGAGGTCTGGAGCCAGACCCCCCCCCTCCCCTCCCCTTGCCGCACAATGTCGAAACGCCGAATAAAAAAACACGCTCACCTTTCTCGACGGAGCCGGAGCGTTTCAGGCCCCGCGTGGGCATGCTTAGAGGGCCCGGCGGGACGGCCAGAGGAGGCCCGATCATCGAAGAAGAGAAAGCCACAAACATAAACTTTTGGCGCTCCGCGCGGATTTCTTGGATCCGCGCTGGGCCCCCCCCAGGCGGCGCCGCCCCTGACGCGCTCCGCGCGCCAGGGAGAATGGTCCACCGCGGATCCAAGAAATCCGCGCGGAGCGCCAAAAGTTTATTTTTATACAGTTTTTCTTCTTCTAGACAACGTGAAACATCTTTCCAGGGCGGACGCCGCGTCCGCTATTTTTGCAGAAGATCCCATCCTGGACGCTGTCCTCACTCGTTAGTCGGTGGCCGCATGTGAACCCTACCCCCCCCCCCCACGAATTCTTAATGGGGGGTGGGGGCTCACGTCGTTCGGACGCTCCCGAGCGGAGTGAACCCCCACCCATCCTTGGAAATCCCAGGACTCACTTGACGGCCACCTGTTTGGGCTCTGCGTGGGGGCTTGTCGGGAGGCTTGGCGGGACGGCCGGAGGAGGCCAGCTCGCCCTGCAGCGTCGGGGGGAAGTGGGGCGCACCCACGGGCAGGCGCCCTCGGGACTTGAGGGAGGAGAGGGGGGAGTTTTTTTTCACGTCGTTGCGCGGCAGAGGCTCACCACCCGCCAAACCACCCCAACCCAACCCGAAGGCCCCAATTTGCCCTCCATTTCCAGTTGGGGGGGGTCGGGGAACGTCGAGAAAACACACATGAAGCCCGTACCCCCCCCAACCCGAAATTCGGGTCTTCGGGTTGGGTTGGGGTGGTTTGGTAGGTAGTCAGAGGCAGTCCGCACGCGCGCTCGGGCAGGCTGGGCGACGGCACTGCGAATTGCCCGGATGCCAGGACCCTGGGTAACGGGACCCGGCTAGTGGTAGGGCCTTGGGGCCCCAGATTCACTAAACCAGGTTTGCCATAACTGGTGTTTTTTCGGGTGACGGCAGTTCCGGTTAGTGGACATGGGACGGGGGGGGCGCCCCCGGTACAAATCACTAAACCAGGTTCCACTAAACCCAGTTCTGCCAACGCCGGGTAGAGGGAGGAGACACGTGGGGGGGGGTGGCGATAAAGAGATCGGGAGAGATACACAGACCTCCGCACCTGATACAGCGATGCACTGCCGAACTCGACTTCGATGGTGCTGATGCTGTCGGCGGGCAGGGTAATTGGACCAGCTGTGAGGTGAAGGAACGACCCGGGGATGATAATGGTGGTGAGGATGCAGGAACGAAGGAGGCGGGGACGAAGAGACGAGCAGGCAGGATCGGGCTGAGGAGGAGAGCGAGAACGGGGCAAGTCGGGGGAGAGGCGAAGCTACGTGCACAAGATGAGGAGGAGGAGGAGGAGGAGGAGGAGGAATAGGTGGCGGGTTAGCAGGATGATGAGCGGGAGGAAAAGAACAAGGAAGAACAGCAGCAGCAGGAATCGGAGTGGAAGGAGCAGGAGAACCAAGGGAAGGCGGAGGGAGGGAAATGATGGGGGCGACAACGATGAAGAAAGACTCCTATTCAGAAAAAGTTGCCCGCGCTGGTGCGAAAGCGCCATTCTGAATGATGGGAGCAAAGCGCCGATCCGATAATGAGGCTCACGCTGCAGCGAGAGCATCATCCTGCAGCACCGAATCGATCGGATTGCAACACCATGCAAGAACACCACAGCTTCTGACATCCTGCGTTTGTGTGTGCGTGCGTGTGTGTAAAACACACGGAGAGGGCCTAGTGTATATCTCCAGGACTGAGCCAGGGTAGAGGGAAGACTAGTGCTCATATCCCTTAGTCCTTAGTTGTGAGAGGAGGAGGTGGGGAGTGGGAAGAGGATGGGTAGGCTTGCAAGCGGGGGAGGAGGAGGAGGAAGAGGAGGAGCAGGAGGAGCAGGAGGAAGAGGAGGAGGCGGAGGAGGAGGAGGGGAACCAGGAGGAGGATGAGGAATAGGAGGGGGAGGAGGAGGAGGAGGAGGAGGAGGAGGAGGAGGAGGAGGAGGAGGAGGAGGAGGAGGGGGAGGGAACGATCGCCACGACAGTCACCACCACGTTGGCAATCTTCGCTCTGTTCCTTGTTGCCACTCTGTGCTGGGCGCTGCTTTTCGGTTTTCGCACGGGAGTTGCCCCAGGGAGCTCATTTTCCACGCCGTTGCCTTGGATTCAAGGGGCTTACGCATGCCATCCTGGTGACCCTCAGACGGGGGGATTAACCGCTTCCGATGTCACATGTGTTGTTTGCCGCTTCTCGCCGGACTGCCTGCGTACAGTTGTTGCCGATTCCTTTTCCCCTTCATCCGCGCATGTGGCAAGTGCTACAGGGCTAGGAACGGCGGCAGGCAACTTTCAACTCCGAACGCCTCTTGCATGGAAGCAGGGTTCGGTTTTGGGCAGTGCACTGTATGGCAACAGCATGCGGTCCTCGGTATGAAGTGATTATCTAATGGCCTTCGGCCCACCCCACCAGCGTGCCTGGGCTATGGGTATGAAGCCCATTGAATGTTCGTCGGGATTTCGTGGGAGGCCTCTCGGATGCCTCTTGGAGGCAGCTTTGAGGGCCTCTTTGGGGCCTCTTAGGGGCCTCTTGGTGCCTCTTGGGCGCCATTTGTGGCCTCCTGGGGACCTTGTGGGACAGAAGGCTCGGATTTTCGGTTTGTGTTCCCTCTCTTGGGTCCCTCTTTGGGCTGTCTTGGGCGCCTCTTGGGCGCCTCTTGGGCTGTCTTGGGTTGCTCTAGGCCGTTTTGGGGCCCTCTTGGAGGCCTCTTGGGCCGTCTTGGTCTTGGGGGCCTCTTGGGCCTTTTTGGAGCGTCGGACAGCCGAAAAGGCGAGGACGCCACAATCCTTCAAAAACCAGCGGAACATCAGTTCTGCCTCTTTGGGCCCTCTTGGGAGGCCTCTTGGAGGCCCCTTGGGGGCGTCTTGGAGGCCTTTGGGGCCATCTTGAGCCCATCTTGGGCGTCTTGGAGCACTACTTCGGCGACGCAGCGCCCTCTTGGACCGTCTTGGGGGCCTCTGGGCCCGTCTTGGGTTCCTCGTGGGCCCGAAAAGAGTCGTGCGAGAGTGTGCCGGCAGGCCCAGGGGACGCGCGCGAAGCCCGGGCAGACCTGGCAGTCTGGGTTCTGGGCCCCTCAGGATTGCCCAAGGCATTAGAGGAGGAGGCGAAGCATGAGGAGGAGGACGAGGGGGAGGAGGAGGACGAGGAGGAGGAGGACGAGGAGGAGGAGGAGGAGGAGGAGGAGGGAGGAGGAGGAGGAGGAGGAGGAGGAGAGGAGAGGAGAGGAGGAGGAGGAGGAGGAGGAGGAGGTAGGGAGGGAGGAGAGGAGGAGGAGGAGGAGGAGGAGGAGGAGGAGGAGGAGGAGGAGGAGGAGGAGGAGGAGGAGGAGGAGGAGGAGGTAGAGGAGGAGGAGGAGGAGGAGGGGGAGGGGGAGGAGAAGGAGGAGGGGAAGGACGAGAAGTAGGAGGGGAAGGACGGGATGGAAGGAAGGACGGGAAGGAGGAGGGATGGAGGGAGAGGAGGGGAGGAGAAGGAGGAGGGGAAGGACGAGGAGGATCTGAGGACGCCCGCTCCGTGCCCAGCGGCACGTGGGCGGTTCCAGTTGCTCTCGGCCAGATCCTGGGTGCAAAAGCAGTCTAGTGCAGCGTGGGCTTGTAGTGGACGAGACTGCGGGATCCGAGGCTCGATCGTTCGTTTGTTCCTCCGCGTCTGTTGCGGGACTTGTAGGGGACCTTCGGGAGCCTCTTGGGGGTCTCTTGGGGGCCTACGCTGCTGCCTCTGACTCTGCGCGTGCCCTGACATCAGCCGATTTGCGTTTTTTGTCAATCCGCGGCCCCAGGGGTCCCAACACCTTCTTTAGGGCAAGTTTTTCGCCCCGGATCCGTTTTTGACGGCCCTCGGGCCCGGTAGTTCATGGGTCATCGGAGGCCGAGGTCGAGGACACACGCCCAGATTGAAGCACTCATCTCGTCGGAAACCTGGGCATCTGGTGGCCTTTGAGCGTTTTTGGGGGCCTCTCGTTCGGATACATCTCCGGGAAGGTTAGATTCAAAATCGGGGCTGGTAGATCCGCGGTCGAACCCCAGCCTAATCCTGCTTAATCCAGCTTGATCCCGCACTATTGGGCTTGATCCTTCGGGCGTTGCTAGAAGTGCCCCTGGCCCAAGGTGCCCCCAGGATTTCCAAGGATGCCCCCACGGCCTCCAGAGTACCCCTCACGAGGTCCAGAGGGCCCCAGGGGCTCCAAACACGAGGTCCAGAGGGCCCCAGGGGCTCCAAAACTGAGCGAAAAGCTGGGGGTGCCTTTGGAGAGGGGCACGTTTAGCAACCCCTAAATCCTGGGCCCACTCCGGCCTGATGACCCCGTCGGGTTGGACAGCCTTTGATCGTCTCGCGAAGACTTCCCAGGAGTTGCGGCCTCTCGGGGGCTCGCGCTGCTGCCTCGGACCCTGCGCGGGCGCGGGCGCCCCCCCCCGGGCAGGTCCCCCGCTCCCTGCTGGAGGACGTCGCGAGGCCCCTCGCGGTGACGCTCGACGCGATCGCGGAGGACACGCTGTCGTACGTGACGAGGGGGCCTCGGGCTGCCCGCGCGAGAGGGGGGGGCCGTTCCTCTTGTTTGCTTTGAGCGTCGGCGAAGGGGAAGGCAAACCTTACAGTGGAGACCCATGCCAAGAGGCACCCTGCTTGCCTCCAGGGTGCTCTGGGTTTCTTGGGTGTCGATGGTTTTTCAGTTGAAAGCGTGACGTGCCCACACCAAACATTAGGGGATGCCCTGGGGTCTCAGGGTTTGGTTTCTTGTGGAAGGTTTCTTGTGGTCGAGCCCCTATTGCAAATGTCAGGAGGCAATGTTTTTTGTACAACATGAGAAGCCATCTTCCTAGCACTGGCACGTCTTAAGTGTGCCTCTCTGGGCTTACAAAGCAGGCAGGCAGCAAGCAGCAGTCACACAGCCCTGTGGGGCGACGGGAAGCATCAGCGCAGCGTGGGCCCGAACCGTGAGCACTTTGGCCCGTGAGCCGCTTCGCGTGGCGCGCGCCGTATGCACCGTACTTACTCGTCGCCCTGGCCCCGAGAGAACACACAATCGTATCTGAGGGCACCTCGGAGATGAGCCCAGCGTCGAACGAGGAGCCTCATCAGGGGCACCGCTCGGGGGTGGCCTCAACTGGCACCACCGCACGAGTGATCGCACGCGCCATCTGTGGGAGAATGGCGGGTGGCAGCTCCCACAGGTGCCGCCTGCAGAAGTGCGGCACGGGGCACGTGCCCCCGTGGCCACGGCCAGGAGGAGCACGTGCTCCGCGAGCGGTGCGCGAAACAGGGCACCGTGCTCCGCGCGCCCTGCTCGGGGCAGGGGGCGCCGGGGGCCGTGCTCCGACGCCCAGCCTGCCAACCACCAACTCCACGGGTGGCCGCTGGCGACGAGGAGCAATGTCCCCTCCCCTGCCCCCCTGCGGGCAGACCATCACCAGCCTCGAACTTATCCCTATCCCTAAGATGGACACGCTAAAAGGAGATGACAATCTTAGGGATGCACCCTCAGAAACTGGGGAAATCCCTAAGATTGGTGTCGTGATGAGGCGATGCCCAACATCGGGATAGGGCTATGTTCCAGGCTGGTAAGGCCAGGGTGACGATCGGGCTGGTGCCCGCCCGTTTGCCTGGGAAGGGGTCCCAGTGGCACAGGTGCCTCAGGGGGGGGGCATAAGCTCAGGGGTTCGGGGTTCGAGGACTTGGCATCGCTCGGATGTGTGCATTTTTTCTCGGCGAGGATCATCGAGGACCATCCTGAACCATCGAGCAAAACAAACACGCACGAAACCGAACAATGCACGGGAAATGGACGTCCAAGCGACGGCAAGAGGATCCGAGGCTCGCTCTCCGGAGGTGCCTGATCGTCCCGGGGGCGTCCTCGAGGCCACGGCTGGACTTGCCCCGAAACTTCTGGTCAGCGCGCACCCCAAGAAAAAGTCCAGGGGTGGCTTTCTGACCCCCGGAGTTGGCGGCTCCAGGTTTTCTTGGGCGTTTTCGTCAGGTCTCTGCGATTTTCCGGCCTCGGGATGCTCTCCAGCATCAACGGCACCGTAACGGGTACTTACTAACGGGTACTTTGAAATTCTGCCGAAAGTTACCACTTTAGGGCCTTTCTATGGCATTGCAGCGCTGCCCACATCGGGAAGGGTTGGGTTCGCTGGGTCACTGGCGAAAGTACCCGTTAGTGGAGTCCCCGTTTGATGGGCGCTGACAGCAGCCGCGCCTCGCCGAGGGCGTTCTCGGGGGTGCCCAGGCCGTCCCGAGCGGCGGGCCAGAAATATATTCGAGCACCTGTACATGTGTCGAAACGGTGTCGAAGCAGTGTCGAACGAGTGTCTCCCAGGGCCCGACGCGTGCGAACTCTGCAATTTCGCTGCTTTCCTGGTGCTCGAAGTTCCTTATGGTGATCAAGGCGAAAGTCGGCTTGAAATCCATAGGACTCAGCACCCATGCATCGCCCAGAGTGGCCCGATGGCTCAGCCCGCCCAGGGGACGCGAGGATTCGATATCGGGGGCCTATCGCCAATCCATCTGCGATGCATCGCCGGTTCTATCAGGAGGGAATGAAACATACAGACACGCAGACAAAATATGGAAAAAACATGGGGATTCCTGTTAATCGTGTGTATTGATTTGTGTGTGTGTGCGTTGTGGGCCCCTTCCTTCTGGGTCGATCCTTCCCCTCTCCCCACGGACGCAGTTCCCCCCTCAAAAGTTCCCACTCGGCCCAGCGCCCTGCTTCCTCTCTTGTGAAAGAGCGCGAAGGCCGGGCTGCAATGGTCCGGTCCGATCCGCTCGGGCCCCGACACTTCGGTTCCGAGTTCTGTCCGGGACGACTGAGTTCCTTCTCTGGCCGGGTTCGCGGTCTCAGGCGATCTAATTGTCCCGAAAGGGGGTCCAGAGATAAGAGGGTGATGCAATAGATTTGGTGCAATAGATTTGTGGGGGGTTGCAATAGATTTGGGGCGTGCAATACATTCCGGGGCGCAAATGTATTGCTGGGCTTTCGCGTGCAATGCATTGGCTGCAATACAATGCAATACAATTTTCTGGCGCAATGCATTTGCAATACATTGCACCACCCCTTTTCAGTTGGACCCCCTTCTGGGTCAACCAAAGACGATCCGATCCCGAGGCGACTCCGGACCGACCCAGGCCGGATTTGATACGTTTCCTATCCGGTCCGATTTCGAGAGTCGATCCTGCCCAGGCCTGCAATGGCCGGGCTTACCACCACGATGTTCGCGCTGGCAGAGTGCACCAGGTACACCCAGAGCCACGCGGGGGAACCTGCAGCGGCCGAGCGAACAGGCGAATACTTGGCCTGTGCAGTGCAGCGCTGTTCTCGAGTCAACCTGTCGTTGTCTCAGCGCTGTTCGCGATGAGACAAATCGGCGGCGAGGGAGGGGGGGAAGTGAGATGGAGAAGGCCTTCTTAGAATGCTCGGAAGTCCCCAGACCTTCTGAGAAGTTTTCAGAGCCTTTCCCGAAGGCACAGGAAACCTCTCAGAAGGTGCGAGGGCTTCTGAGAAGGCCCGTCGCCTTCTGAGAAGGCCTTCTCCCTCTGACCTTCTCCCCCCTCGCTCGCCGCCGAAACGAGTCGTCCTCACCATCGCCCCGCCGCAGGCACCCTCCCGCCCCGCCGCAGAGATCGCCCCCCAGATCCTGCGGCCAGGATCGGTGCGGGTCGGCCAGGATCGGTGCGGGTGGGCAGCTGGCGCCTCCCGTCCCCCTGCTTCGGGGGAGCCAAAGGGGAGCGCTCTCGGACCGCACTCTGACCTGAGTGGCTACGGACCCATGTGTCGTATTCCGTCCTCGTCAACTTTCCTCCTTAACTATCTTCCTACTCCTCCTCTTCCTCCTCCTCCCTACTATTCCTCCTCCCCCCCGCCATCCTCGTCTTAACCTTCGCCGCCTCGTCCTCATCCTTCTTCTCCCTCCTCTTGGGATGCAACTCCTGCGGTTTCAATTCAGCATCGGCGCCGGGACATCGTGATCGAACACCAGCCTGATCTGCCATAATCCCTCTCAAGCCCGCCCCGCTCAAGCCCGCTTACTCCCGCCTAGTCCAGCTTGACCTGGGGCTCAATCAGGTCCGATCTGGGTCGGTGGCCCCTTGATCGGGTCCCGTAGCCCTGACTCGTTCTTACGAAGAGCCCTCGGGAGTTGCCTCCGAATCCTTCGGTCCTGAGGAGTATCAGGGGTGGACAGACCTCCTGCCCTGACACGTCGATTAAGGAATTGGCCGTTTCCGGTTCGCGAGAGGGCGTCGCGGCCGTCATTTCTGTGGATCCGGGTCCGTCGGTTTCGGTCCCAGGCCGTTTTCACGAATGGGAGGTCTACTCAAGGGGAGGTTTGTCGACTGCGGATAGTAACTAGGAGGGGAAGAAACACACATCATAGCCCCGAATCATCAGGGGTAACTCGGGTCAGGGCTAACTCGGGTTCCTTTTTTCGGGAATCCGAACCCGACTTTCCCCGGACCCGAGTTACCCCGGATAATTCGGGCGTCCATGGCCCCACATCATCAGGGGTAACTCGGGTCAGGGCTAACTCGGGTTCCTTTTTCGGGAATCCAAACCCGAGTTACCCCGGACACGAGTTACCCAGGATAACTCGGGCGCCCAAACACAGACACACTTAATCGTCGATTCCCCAGAAAATATAGGAAAATATGGGAAGTGGGGGGGGAGAGGAAATCCCAGAGAATATGGGAACATATGGGGAATCTGTTTATTTGTGTGTACTTATTTGTGTGTCCTGGGGCCCCTTCAGTAACTCCCAGCGAGGGCGAGTCGGAGCATTACTGCCCCCGTTCTGGCGGCGCTCTCGTCGCACTCCGGCTGCCGGAAGGGGCCTGGACCGTCGGGACCCTCGGCAGCACATCGGAGGAAGTAGGCCTTTGGAGGGTCCTGGGAGTCCCAGGTCCTGCATGCTCAGTGCTCGAGCACTGGGGACGATGAGGAGAGGGAGGAGAAGGAGGAGGAGGAGGAGGAGGAGTAGGAGGAGGAGCAGGAGGAGGAGGAGGAGGAGGAGGAGGAGGAGGGATGATGAGGAGGAGGAGGAGGAGGAGGAGGAGGAGGAGGAGGAGGAGGTCTGCGGGATTGGGGGGAGAAGGAGCAGGGCTTGCGGGGGTGGATGCGGATCCTTGAGCCTCCGAGAGGAGGAGGAGGAAGAGGAGGAGGAGGAGGAGGAGGAGGAAGAGGAGGAGTGGAGTCCCAAGCACCACCGAAGCTCGACGGTCGGCGATGCTTTGGTGGCCGAGCCGCGCTTCCGGTGCCTCCCGCAGTTGATGGCGATCTTGATGTCCATGCTCACGATGATGAGGATGATGATTGTGGTGGTGATGATAATGGTGATGGTGACGATGTTGATGATGCTGATGGTGGTGATGGTGGTAATTCACATGGGAATGAGGATTGATGAGGATGAAGATGGGGATGAGGATTAGGATGGGGATCAATATGCTGATGCGCATGAGGATGATGATGAAGATGCTTATTCTGCTGATGATGACGATGATGTAGCTGCTGCTGATGACGATAATGATGATGATACTGACGATGCTTCCGATATGATGATGCTGATGATGATGATGCTGATGATGATGATGATGATGGTGATGATGATGGTGATGATGCCGATTTTTATGATGAGGATGCTGCTGCTGCTGATGAGGATAACGATGATGGTGGTGAGGATTAGGATGCTGATGCTGCTGATGCCGATGATGTTGTTGTTGATGCTGATGCTGATGATGCTGGTGGTGATGATGATGGTGATCATGATGATGATGATGATGATGATGATGATGATGATGATGATGATGATGATGATGATGATGATGAGGCTGATGGTGATGCAGAGTTTCAGAGTGATGATGAGGAAAGGGGAGGGAGATGCTGATGGCGACAGGAGGATGTTGATGCGGAGAAGGAGGGACAGGAGGTAGTTGTTGCGGATGCTGCTGAGACTGACTAATGTGAAGGAGGGGAAAGCGGAAGGAAGGTCACCAGAAGGAAGCAGGGAATATGAGGTGGAATATGACGAGCAAGGGAGAGAGAGAGAGAGAGAGAGGGATAGCGAGAGAGAGAGAGGCATTGATTCAATGCAGGCATTCAGTCATCCGAATGGCACCCATTTATTCTTTCACAACGGCTAACTGGAGGTAGAGGTTCACGATGACGTGGAGGAGGTGGTGCTAGATGGTGTAGACGAGGCGTGGGGAACGATGATCAAGCGGAGCAAGGCGAGGATGGCGAAGGGGAGGAGGTGATGAGTATTGGCCATGGGGAAAAGGAATGGGAGGAGATAAGAGGGAGGTAGAGAAGGGAGAGAAGGGGAGGGGGAAAGTGGAGGAGGAAGAGGAGGTGTCAGCGCGGAGGCATAGGAGGATGCGGGCTAGGAGGGCGCGGAGGCAGAGGGGGGCGCGGGCGAGGAAGGGAGTCAGAAACGGAGAAGGCTGAGGCTGACGAGAGAGGGAGGCTGGGAAGGGGGGAGTCAGAGCACGACGCGGCGGCGGAGGCGGCGGAGGAGGAGGATGAGGCGGAGCCAGAGGCGGAGAGGGAGGAGGGCAGTATGTGGAGAGGAGGCGGAGGCGGAGGCGGAGGTTGAGGCGGAGCCGCATGCGGAGGGGGGGGAGGGCAGGATGGGGGCGTTCACCGTGCGTGCAGGCACGCGGTCGCACGCCCGCACGCAGAAGCGCCCCTCCGCGCATTCGCGCCGAACGGGGCCCGTTCGCCCTCGCGGCCCCGCCGCCGAGCCAAGGAAGAGGATGCCTCTGGAGCTGCTGACCACGAGGCGCCGTGGTGGACTCAGTCAAGAGATCAGGAGGGATGAGGAGGAAGAGGAGGAGGAGGAGGAGGAGGAGGAGGCGTGGAGGAGGAGGAGGAGGAGGAGGAGGAGGTCGTGGGAGGCGAATGAAGAACGGGGAGGAAGAGGAGGCAGGAGGAGGAGGAGGAGGCAGGAGGAGGAGGACGAGGAGGAGGAGGAGGAGGAGGTTCAGCCTTGAGCTGCTGACCATGAGGCGCCATGCTGCCTCGGCCAGGAGAGCAAGAGCAGGACCGCGGTCAAGGCGCCGATTCCATACGAGTGAGCAAGTCGCGTGGATTAGCGGCGGGTCCCGTTTCGGTGCAGAGTCGGCGCGATCCGGCGCCAAATCGGGCGGCATTGGCGTCGTGCTCCGCCAGGTTGCGCGGCGGCCTCAGCCAAGACAGCAGGAGCAGGGGCCCAGTCAAACGGCACCCACCAGGACGAGTGACCTGCCAAAGGTGTATACCTGAGAACAGCCTGAGAACCTGGTGTCTCACGTTTTTTCGAGCGGGGCGCTGTCGTCCGTTCTCGGGCCCTGGGACCTTGCCAGATCGATCCGACTCGAAACATGGGCGCACGAAGGTAGGGTCTGGGTCGCTGGTCGTGATTGTCGTGGCCTCCGGCCAGTGCCGCCGATCCGGGGCGCTCCCCATGGCGCTCCTCGGGTTCGCTTGGAGGCCTATGGGGCCGTCTTTGGGCCCTCTTGGGGGCGTCGTAGGAGGAGGCCTCTTGCGTGGGTCTTTGAGCCTCTTGGGGGCTTCTTGGGGAAGCTTTTTTGGCTGTCTTAGGGCGTTCCAGGCCCGTCGGACGCCGTCGGAAGCCGTCTTGGGCGCCTCGCTGTGGCGTCTGGAGACACTCTGGGGGCGCTTCAGGGCCGTCTTGGAGGCTGTCTTGGCCGTCGTGGGGGCCCATGGGGCCGTCTTGGGACCATCTCGGGTCCGCCTCAGGATCCTCTTGGGCCGTGATGGGGCCATCTTGGAGGCTTCTGGGGCGATCTTGGGTGCCTCTGGGGCCGTCGGAAGGCCGACAAGAATGAAGCGCCCAAATCCTTCAGAAGCAGTCAGAAAGTCAATGATTCGGGCCTCTTCGGGCTCTTTTCGCAGGGCATCCTGGGCCGTCTTGGGCGCACCTGGAGCCGTTTGGGGAAATATCTGGTGGCCATCTTTGGTCCGAGGCACGATAACCATCACGTCACTAATTATGGGCCCCAGGGCCCACTGAGGCCCCAGGGGCCCCAGATTAGTGAAGTGATTTTCTTTTCCCACGTAAGGACCCCGAAATTCCTCACTTCACTAAGCCGAACCCATGGCGAAAGTCAGGGGCCGAATTGCTGCTGTGATGCAGCATAGGTCTCGTATTTGGGCTTTCAGGTCCCCAGGGTGGGAATTCCGATATTTGCCTGTCCCGGCCCCGCCCAGAACACGGAGCACAGGCGGAGCAGGCCCCCTCTCCCCCTCCGTCCCCCGGCAGAGCTCTCCCGCCCCCCCCCCCCGCCCGCAGGGCTGGAGCTCACCGGGCGCGCTCCGCTGCTCGCAATGTGCCTGTTCGCAAACGTCCGATGTAGATAAGTCTTCTTCTATATATAGATGTTGTGGAGGTCGAGTACTGGAGAGGAAGCATGCTGCCAAATACTTTCCAGATGTCAACAAATGCTTCAGACATGTCTTTATTACGTGAAAACATGGTTGAAACGTTTAGAGCACATGTTTTACACATTTGAACACATCTTCAACTCAATAATAGGACTGTTAGAGTGTCCATTGTCGTGGCATCCACAAACATAACGTATCGTGCATTCCCCGCGGCGGATCCAAGCCGTTTGCGGGTAGTTGCTTTGCGAGTAGTGGGGTGCGCTTGTCCAGAAGCTCAGGCTGTAGGCTGTAGCCTACGCTCGTTGAAACTCACACGCCAGATCGGCGGATGTGTCACGATGATGTATCCGCTATGTCCGATGTCAGAGATCTTCGCATCCTTATCTCGGCCAATCGTAGCCTTTGGCCATGGGCCAATCAATGGCTTCCAACCGTTCGGCCTTGATCAGGTTTTAAGAAACCCAAGCAGGCCCCAAGAGGTCCAGAAGAGACACCCGATACGACTAGGACGCGTCAAGCGCGGCCCCAGACGGCTACAAGACAGGGCATCAGGCTTCCTCGACAGCCAAAGCGGGCCAGAAGAGGACCCGCAAGACGCCCCGAATTGGCAGCAATCTTCCCGAAAGCAGCGCTTTCACTTACATAGGGTTCTTATTTAGCTCTTGGCACTTCGCGTATCCCTTCTTTCGGATGCAATTCCGGGGAGGTCAACATCGCACTTTACCCTGGTCCGAAATTTGGCTTCATCCGGCCTAATCCCGCTTAGTCCGGTTGAGTCCCGATCAATCAGGTCTATTCCCGCTTTCTCCGCGGGCCTATCCGGCGTAGCAGCCCCTCAATGGTGCTCAATGCTCCCTAATCCTTCCGACGAAGACCTCCCTGTAGTCGCCTCCTGACCTTCTGGCCCATCCAGAACCGATCGCAGGCAGGAAGGAGGGAAGGCAGGCCGCACGGACGAGGACGAGAAGGACGAGGTGGCGATGTTCGCGGGGATGTTGTGGAGATAGTTCGCCAAGCAGCGCTTGCACTGAAGGGTTGTTGTTTTGCTTTCTTACAGTCGGACCGAGGTACAAGGTCGAGGTCGATTCGGGGAGTGTGCCGTTAGTGTGTTTCGTGCTTGCTGGATGTTCCTGTGCATCCTGGCGGGAGGTGGTGGTACGCTGGATGCTCAGTTTGTTTAGGCCGCCGGAGGGTCTCATGCTCTTGAGGGGTGTTCTTCTGGCCTGGGCCCGACTGTGCTCAGGAGGGAAAAAAAGCACACAGACATAATCCATCGTCGATTTCCAAGAGAATATGGGAAAATATGGGAAGTGGGGGGGAAGCCAGAAACCCAGAAAATATGGGAACATATGGGGAATCCTGTTACCTGTGTCTATTTGTTTGTGTGTCCCAGGGCCCCTTCATGTACGTGCCTGGATGGGCCCCCGGGCTGTCGCCGAGCTGGCGCCCGTGCTCGCCGGTGGGCGCCCCGTGTGGCGCGGGGGGCCTGCTCTCGACTTTCTGCAGCTCGTGCTGCTGTACTGGGAGGTCAGCGCACGGACGTCGGACGTGTGCACTTTTTCTCGCCGAGAACCATCGAGGACCATCCTGGACCATCGAGCGAAAAAAAAGCGCGCACGAAGCCGAAAGATGCTCGGGAAATTTCTCGTCCAAGCGACGGCAAGATTGCCTTCTTGGTCTTCATCGTGTCCGCGGCCTCGCGGGCCGGGCCCTTTGGCCGCGACTCCGCGGATCCGTTTTTGTTTGTTTCGCGCATGCCCCGCACGGAGCGTGTCCGTGCAACCGCGTATCCGCGGGATCGCGCCCCGGAATCCAGACCGCGAGGGAGTTGAAATGGATGCGTTCTCCGCTCCTGATATTTCAGGGCTTCCACGACGGCCCAAGAGGTCCCCAAGCTCGCCCCAATGTGGCCCACCAGGGCGCCCCTTCGGGCCCGAAGATGGGCCCAGGAAGGCCCAAGACGGTCCACGGGGCGCAAGTACGCCCCAAGAGGGCCCCCAGAGGGATCCACACAGCCGACGTGAGCCCCAACACGGCCCCACAGGGCTTGCAGGCCGCCCCAAAGACCATCAAGACGGCCCAGGCGGGCCTGGGATCCGTCCCAATATGGCCCCAAGGCGACCCAACAGGCCCCCAGACGGCTTCACAACAGCTCCAAGAGACCCCCATGAAGGGCCCACTGACGACATTGGATTAATACGACGATGCTCAGAAGAGAAATGCACATTTTGTTACGTTTCCCAGACCGTTTTCTGCACTTCCGATGTTTTTTTTTCCTGATCAATTGGGTGGGTTTCTGGGGTTCGCGCTCGCGCCTCGTAGTCGCCTCGTAGTCGACCCCGTGGGCGCCTCGTGGTCGCCCACGGGGGCGACTACGAGGCGCCCACGGGGGCGACTACGAGGCGACTCGTGGGGGGGTGCCCCCTCGTGGGTGCCCCCGCGTGGGCGCCTCGTAGTCGCCCCGTGCACTGGGCGGGTGTTCCGACTCTCCGGCACGCCCACGCGTGCGCCCGCTCGTGGGCCAGCGTTGGACGTGTGCTTGCCCGCCCGCGGGCGCCCTCCTCCTCCTCCTCCTCCTCCTCCTCCTCCTCCTCCTCCTCCGCTCGTGGGCCAGCGTTGGACGTGTGCGTGCCCGCCCGCGGGCGCCCGGTGGGCGCCCAAAGCGCGCCCCGGGCGCGGGTTTGGGTGTCCCGAGGTGCTGCCGCGCTCGCGCCCGTGCCCGCTCGTGGGGCGCCCCCGCCCACAGCATATGCACAGCGTACGTTTCTGGACGCCCGAAATGGGTACGGAAAGAATGGGTACCTTGCCCGACAGCAGTTCCTGTTCACTTTGAACAGGAGTCGCTGTCCACGCCGCCGCGGCCCGTGTCCATCCGAGACAGAAGGCCGCCTGCCCAACAGCGGCCGCTGTTGGCTTGGGACAACATCTGTTGTTGGGCACAGTGCCCATTTTTTCGGTACCCATGTCGGGCGTCCAAAACATTGCACCGTCAGAAGTGCAGGGACATCGCACCGTTGATCAGATATCTGGGTTGCACTTTTTTTTTTTCTCTGCGAGGTGTGCTCACTGGAACTATCGGTGCCAGTGGTGTGAGTGAATGAAGGACATCGGTTGCACACCACAACGACTACCCCGCATAGCCGCACAGCTTGCACAGCACACCTTACAGCAACTATGCCACTTCTGGCGCATTACACAACGTAGCTCGCACTACATGGCTTGTGCAGCGTCGCCCAACTCCCTAGACTAACCGCATAACTTTCACCACGCAGGTCACACCACATAGCGTACACCGCGTAGCTTGCACCGCCGCAACACAGCTTACACATAATCTCTAAGTGCTCACAGCTCACACCGCAACAAATCTCATACGCCCGAACGAACGCAGTCTAGGTTACACCCGATAGCTTGCACAGCATAGCTCTCACCACATCGTTCACATCACATAACATGACATGACTTACACTGCACAGCTGACACCACATAGCGTGCACAACGAAGCTTGCACCACCTAACACGGCGCACGTTGGGGGGGAGGCGTTACATCATACCCCCGCCCGGCCCTTTCCCCCCTCTCCCTATAATGCCCATTATCGCCGAAAATAAAGAAACGCGCTCGACGCTTCGAGGCCGTCCGAAGCCGTCGTGGACCGTCGTGGACTCTCCAGTGGATTTTCGTTTGGCCAGGCAAAATCCACGCGACATTCACTCTTCGTTTTTCGCTCGCCGTTTTTCGGGATTCTGCATGGACAGAAAGCCACACAGAAATCCGCTGTAGCACGTCTGCAAGGGTGGCGCGCCGGCAGCTGCGGCGGCGGCGGCGGCAGGGCCGTCTGTCAAGTCTCGGCACAGAACAGCTGCCTCGAGTCTCGGGGCGGGGTGGCCCGTTTTGGAGGCCTGCGACGGCCACGCCGGGATGTTCTTGAGTCCTGGGCCCCCCTGCTCCAAGAAAAACATGTCAGGAGGGAAAAACACACGCAGATACAATGAATCGCCGACTCCCAGGGAAAGATGGGAAAATATGGGAAGTGGGGGGGGAAGACGAAAACCCAGAGAATATAGAAACATAGAGGGAATCCTGGGGGTTGTGTGTATTTATTTGTGTGTTCTTGGACGCCTTGAACATGGTGGACATGAGGAAATTCTGGGTTCCTTAGTCAATCCCCCTGGGGGAGGGGCCGATGGTCCCAAAGCACCAGACATCTGCCGATCCACCAACTTTCATAGGGTGTTTCTGGGGCCCCGAGTCAGGTCATTATCTTGGGTGCACTACATGCCCTGGTGGGTTCGCGGGTCTCGTGGGTCCCGCAGGTCCCGCGGGTCCCGCATGTCCCACAGGTCCCACGGCTCCCGTTTGTCTTACAGGTCCAACAGGTCTCATAGCTCCAGGTCTCGCATGTCTCGATGTTCCCACATGTCCCGCAGGTCCAACAGGTCTTTCATGTCACCTCACTTTTGCTGTTATCAGAGTGCTTTGCTGGCCGCGCGTGGTTGCTTGAGCTGCGCGTAGTGCTGGCTGGGCCATCAACGCAGGTGGGGAATGCTGCCCCAGAAATAGGAAATTTCGCCCGCTCTGGATTTTCATGTGAACCCTCGGAGGCGGTGGTTTCCACCGTGGCCACAAGGGGAACAGGGCAAAGGAGGAGGAGCTGTGGAAAGGGAGGAGGGGAAGGGGAAGAAGAGGAGGAGGAGGAGGAGCAGCAGCGGGAAGAGGAGGAAGGAGAGGAAGAGAAGTTCTGGGATGGGAGCAGGCGGCGAAGGAGGATTGCAGGAGGTGAGGGAGAGGTGGACGAGGCGAAGGACGACGCAGAACGACGCAGAGGACGACGTAGAACGACGTCGCAGAGGGAACGACGCAGAGGGAACGACGCAGAGAACGACGTAGAGGAAACGACGTAGAGGACGACGTGGAGGGGAAAGAGGAGGACGACGTCTTTGTTTTTTTTGTTTTGTTTTTTAGAACGACGTCGTCCCCGCCGCCGGGGCGAGGCGCGACCCCTGGCAGTTCCAGGCGCTGCGCGAGCGGCTCGCGGCCCCGGAGGCGGTGCGGCTGAGCGGGCTGCTGGCACACGTCGCGCGGGGGGCCCAGTCGCTTCTGGGCGCCGTCGCCGTCGCCTGTCCTCCTCCTCCTCCTTCTCCTCCTCCTCTGCCTCCCCCGTGCTTCCTCTGTCCGTCTCCGCCCCCCCCTCTCCTCCTCCTCCTCCTCCTTCTCCTCCTCCTCCTCCTCCTCCTCCTCCTCCTCCTCCTCCTTCCTCCTCCCCCCCTTGCTTCCGCTGTCTGGCGCCGTCGCCGTCGCCACATCGCTATCGTCGTCGTCATCTTCGTCGTCGTGGTCGTCGTCAACGTCGTCGTCGTCGTCGTCGGCGTCGGCGTCGGCGTCGTCGGCGTTGTCATTATCATCATCAGCAGCAGCATCAGCAGCAGCAGCAACAGCAGCAGCATCAACATCATCATCATCATCAGCAGCAGCATCAGCATCATCATCATAATCATCACGACCGCCACCATCATCACCATCATCACCATTATCCTCATCAACATCATCATTATCATCATCAGCATCATCGTCATCATCATCATCATCATCATCATGATCATGATCATGATCATGATGATGATCATCATCTTCATCATCATCTTCACCATTCTCACTATTATCACCATCATCGCCAACATCACCACAACCACCACCACCACCGTCGTCGTCATCGTCGTCGTCGTCGTCGTCGTGGTCGTCGTCGTCGTCGTCGTCGTCGTCGTCGTCGTTCTTGTCCTGGTCGTCGCCCTCGTCTCGGAGGAGGGCCCGTCGAGAGCGGCGGCCCTCCCTGGCGCTCGCCGCCCCTCGCCGGGCCTCCGCGGGGGCTGCTCGCCGCCGCGGCCCGGGGCAGCGCCGAAGAGCGGGCCAGGACGGACCCTCGGGGGCGGTTTCTGAGCAGGGCTGGGCCGGGCCGCAGGGCCGCAGCTGTCTCGGCGTGTCCTCCGTGCGATCGTCGGTGTCATCGTCGGCGGAGGGAGCAGGGGAAGTCCCCATTCTGTCCCCGCCCGTCCTCCTCCTCCTCCTCCTCCTCCTCCTCCTCCTCCTCCTCCTCCTCCAGCCGCCGCCACGGCCGAAGGTCGAGGGACACGCGGCCCTCCCACCCTGTTCCATCGCCCGCCAGGGGAGCAGCGCGCGATGCCCACGCGCCCGCGGGGCCCAAGAGGCCCATGATTGAGGCTCTCCTCTTGCTCGCGGCCGTCGGCTTCTCGCCGCGGGCGGCCGCCTACATGTCGACAGGCGCTTGCCGCGCCCCTGGACGCACTCAGGAGCGAGAGCCTCAACCTGCTTAGCACACCAGGCTCTACGTGTACAACCCTCTCTACCTGACGGGCAGCACCCGCGCGCAGGAGATCACCTGCGAGCACTACATGGGCGTGATCCTCTTCCCTGGGACGAGCCGCCGCCCGACACTGGACGGCCGCCACCGCCTCTCTCAGCACGACTACCACTGGGAGCTCTCCTTCGGCTGGACCAACAAGAGTTGCGGGGGGAGCATCTTCATACATCAGCGGTTTCCGCGGGCACACATACGTCGGATCTACCCTCCGCCCGCGGCGCTCTCGGGCCGCTGCGGCGCGACAGTGCCGCTCCTCGGACGTGCTCCTCATGGTTCGGCACCTTTCCGTGCCATCCGAGTCCTGCTCCAGCCGCAACTTATACCGCCAGGTGACTCAGGCTATGATCTCGTGGGCACGCACCACGCTGAAGTCAGTGGGCAGTCGACGCGCGCCCTTCAGCGGGGCGGACCTCAGCTCGGCGACTCCGTGGGCGAGACATTTCTCGGCTCCCCGTCCCTGCTCGAGCCCGACTTGTGGAGCGAGGTCGACAGCGCCGTGGGCCCCTTCCTGGAGCTGGAGGGCCTTTCTGGACGTCTTTGGCAACGGTTCCTCTCGGACCACGACACCTTCTTTGTCAGCGGGGTCACGTTCATCGGGGCGCGCGGACGGTCACGCAGGATCGACTTCCTCCATGCCCCGTGCAAGTGCAAGGCCCCCATGGGAGCAGGACGCCGCCTCAACACATTGTACGATCGAGACCACCGCTCTGTCTACGCGGGCGACATCTTCGAGGCCCACGCGCAGCACGCCTGGGACTACGACACGATCGTGCTTCGTCTGGAGGGCGCCCCGAAGCCGCGCGACCTGCAGCAGGCGGTCGCGTTCCTCCCCAAGATGGTGCGCCAGCACGCCCAGCAGCTCAGGGACCTCGCGGCCTCTGAATGGATCAGCATCGTGACCCCGCCCACGGCTACTTCGATCGTCGCAGCTCGGGAAGCGGGCAAGGTGTACGCAGAGGCGAAGCCCCAATCCACCACATTTGTACATCGCTCACGCCGAGTTCAAGTACCCGTCGGCCTCCGTGGAGCAGGAGGCCCCGCAGGGGCACGTGCTCCCGCGTACCTTCTACCAGCAGTTCGTTTGCATGGGGACGGGCTCGGAGCTCTGCTCCACCTCAGGCTGCGCACGCGCCACAACGACCAGTACACCAGGATGCAGTTCGCTAGCGCGGACCAGATCACACTGAAGAGCGTCAACCAAGACGGCCCTCGGGAGACATGCCTCGACGTTCCGGGCGGCCGCCAGAAGATGGGGACGGCCCCTCTGGGCCACCTGGAATCGATGGCCCAGAAACTGCAAGACAAGAACCGCCAGATCCACTACGGCCAGAAGGGCTGACATGGGTGGCGGATCCAACGGAAAGAGATGGGCGACCAGCACACTACGTGACGACGTGAGTCCCTCCAGCAGCTTCGCTGTAGCACCAGGCCCCTCTAGTCGCTCTCGCCGCCCCTGGTCTCTAGGGCGCGCCGTCGGCTCTTTTCTCGGCCTGTTTTTTTTTTCTCGGGGCCTCTGGGTGTCCAGGGAGCCTGCTCGGTGCTCTCCGCGCCGTCGAGCTCGGCCCCCGCGGGCCAGAGGGGTATCCCCCCCCGCCCGCGGGCGTCTTCCCGTTTCCTGTCCTGCTCGGCTCTGATCAAAGGTGATCACAGCTGCGCGGCGCGACCGCACGCCTGACCTCGTTGGGTCCGAGGAGATCGCGCGACTGCTCAGAGGTGTCCCCGAGCGATCTCTCGTTTCGTGAGCTCGAGGGGTGAGTGTCTTCATACTCGCAGCGCAATGCCGAGTCCATCCATCCATCCCTCCTCCTCCTCCTCCTCCTCCTCCTCTCCCTCCTCATCCTCCTCTCTCTCTTTCTTTTTTTGTTGTTGTTTTTTTTTTTTGTTTTTCTCTCTCTCTCTCTCTCTCTCCTTTGTTTGTTCTCTCTCTCTCTCTCTCTCTCCCCCTCGCTCCTCCAGAGTGAATGCGCGTGCGACTTCCAAGACCGCTGCCGCTATGGACATCTGCAATCTGGAATGTCTGTCTCTCGTCGTCCGAGCGAGCGACCGGGCTCTCTCCTTCCTCGTCCTCCTCGTCCTCCTCGCCCTCCTCGTCCTCCTCGTCCTCCTCGCCCTCCTCGTCCCCGCTCTCCCTCCCTCTATCTTTTAGCTTTGTGCATCGCTACTCCCTGGCACACCCCGAGGTTTAGGGGTAGGGCGGGTCTGGCAATTCGCCGTGAGTTTCTGCATCGCTTTGATTCGGGGGTGGACACACCTCCTACCTGGACACGTCGATTAGCGAATTGGCCGTTTTCGTTTCGCGAGAGGGCGTCGCAGTCGTCATTTTTGCGGGTCCAGGTCCGTCGGTTTCGGTCCCAGAACGTGTCCACGAAAGGGAGATTTTTTAAAAGGAGGTTTGTCTTCCGCCGAATGATGCTGAAGCTTGGAATGTGCGCCCACGTCAAGGATGAATCAGACACATTTCAAACCATGGCTCCTGCACAGCACCGCGCACATTCGTCTTGAAAACTTGCGGCAGCTTCAAGGATCGAGCTTTCTCATGTGTCCACATCCATATACATACACTTATACGTGCACGTGTGCATATTCAGATGTACATTTGTTTGTAGTGGGTATATATGTATGTATGTATGTATGTATGTATGTATGTATGTATGTATGTATGTATGTATGTAGTATGTATGTATATATATATATATATATATAGGCAACGCTCCCATGCGTTTTCACGTATTGCAGCAGACTCGATGATTAAATGGGTCGTTTTCTCGTGTGGCTCAGGCGTAGCAACATGTAGTGGCTTGAAGGGTTGTGAGGTGATGGTTTTGAATATTTGTTATCGCCTCACGGACCTGCACATTCCCCACACAAGTTTGCAACACATTCAAGGACGTTGAGGGTCATGTTCAACATGTGGTTCTTGTATTCTCGCCGCGTGCATTCGTCATAAAAACTTTCAACAGCTTCAAGATGGAAGGGGGCGGTGGGGACAATATGGGGCTCTCGCCTGGGCGCCACGCACATTCGCCATGAAGTTTGCAACAGCTTCAAATATTGAGGGCGGTTGGGTTTCCAAATGGGGCTCTCGCCTCAGCGCCTCGCATGCTCTTTTCAAACATTTGCAACACTTACAGATGCGGAGGACTGTTCCTTTTCAACGTTGTGTTTTGACAAGGACCTGAGCATGTGTATCAACAACACATTTCAGCACGGACGAAGGGCGGTGTCATTTCGCAATGGGGATGTTGCTTGAGATTTACCCGATGCTCATGACCGAAAGGGTCAGCTTGCGAATCAGTTATACAGATATGGGGCTGGTGAAGTTACACAGGGCTTGCGATATCAGTTGTGCAGTTATACAGCTCTTTGACCATACATTTTCGCATTCCATGCTACCCATTCGAAGGGTGCAAGGCAGCTCCTTTCCACAACGTGGCTGTGCAAGGCTGTTCCTTTCTAAAACGGGGCTCTGTCCTGAATGGCAGGCCGCTGGCCCACCGGGTGCTGGTCTTGCGAGGTGGCGCCTCTTCTGGGAACGAAGGGCTTGCAGGGGCGTGCGAAAAGGGGACTTTGTGGCGGGAGGGTGTTGTGCAGCATGGTTGACGGTTCTGGGATTCTCTCTGGTCCCCATCCCTTCTGTTTCTCCTTCTTGCCTCTCCCCCCAGACATCCCACGATATGATTGGTTTCGATGCGCGGCCCCAGAGATCCCGACCGCTTCCTCGGGTCTAATGTTTCGCCCCAGATTCATTGCTGATTGTCGCGGAGTCTGCTGACGGGCCCTGGAGGCCGAAATCAAGGAAAAGCGCCCAGACTGAAAAAAACAGGTCGCTGGAGATTTGGGTTTGCGGGTCATAGCTCGGGCATTTGGTATCCGTTCGGGGCGATCCGGGCACCCTCAGAACGCCCGCGACGAGGCTCACCGAGCGTGTCACACTGCTCGCAAAGTGCATTCTCGCAAACGTCAGAAAAAAAACAACACATGTTTTCCTCGATGTAACGGATCGCAAATCTCCAGGGCCGGACCCAGGCCATTTGCATGCAGTTTCTTTGCGAGTCGTGGAACGCGATTGTCTGAGGCGCAGCCGATGGAAACCACCCCAGGCCTCGAAAGCCTCCGCAAGCCTCCCCGAAGCCTTCCCCTTCTCCAGCGTTCCCCCCCCGGTCCCGGGCAACTGGGTTAGGCCGGGCTGGGTGAATTGGAAATACCAATAAAACACAAACATCTCAAAATGGTTGAACAAAATCACCCCCAGAGTATTTTTGGACCATTTTTGAATTTTTCTCCTTTAGAGGGATAGGCCCGACTTGACACCAGGGCTGGCAGCCGAGCGTCCGAGAAGGAAGGGGCTGGCCTTCTCAGAAGGCTGGGAAGTCCTGCCTCCCGCGAAATGTCCTCCTCCTGTTCCTACTCCTCCCCCTGCTGCTCCTCCTCCTCCTCCTCCTCCCCCTCCCCCTCCTCCTCCTCCTCCTCCTCCTCCCCCTCCCCCTCCTCCTCCTCCTCCTCCTCCTCCCCCCTCCCCCTCCTCCTCCTCCTCCTCCTCCTCCTCCTCCTCCTCCGCCTCCGCCTCCCCCTCCTCCCCCTCCTCCTCCAGGGCTGCCCCCAAGGGGCGCTCCTCTGCGTCGACGGCCGACCTCTTCCCCGCGACATGCTTCTGGGCCCTCCCGCCGAGGTACTGGGCGATGTTCGGGCACGTGCACAGGCGCCTGCACGCCTCGGGGTGGCCCGAGGGTTTCGTGCAGGGCGACGACACCGGACATGCTCGCGTCGTAAGAGGAGGAGGGGGAGGAGGAGGAGGAGGAGGAGGAGGAGGAGGAGGAGGAGGAGGAGGAGGAGCAGGAGGAGGAGGAGCAGGAGGAGGAGGAGGAGCAGGAGGAGGACGTGCAGGGCGACGACCCCAGACATGCTCGCGTCGTAGGAAATTCAGGGCGGAGGTTTGTCGCCTTTTGCAGACTCTGGATCGGCACGAACGAACTGGACACGAGCGAAATGGACACAGACGAAATGGGCACGCACGAGATGGGCACGAACGAAATGGGCACGGACAAAATGGGCTTCGGAGGTCGATTGACCTCCTACCCTGACACGTCGATTAGGAAGTTGGCCGCTTTTTCGGTTCGCGAGAGGCGTCGCGGCCGTCATTTTTGCGGGTCGAGGTTCGTCGGTTTCGGTCCTCGGCCGTTTTCATTTGGAGGGAGGTTTACTAAAGGGAGGTTTGTCTACCGGCGAATGTTCGCGTCGTAAGAACATCTGCACGAACGAAACGGGCACGGAAAGAATGGGTACAATGTTCAACCGCAGTTCTTGTTCCTTTTGTACTGGACTCGTGGTCCGCGCCGCCGCGGCCGGTGTTCGTTTGGGACAAGCGGCCGCCTGCCCAACAGCGGCCCCTGTTGGTTTTGGACAACAGTTGCTGTTGGGCATTGTGCCCATTTTTCCCGTTCGGAGGGAGGAGAAGCGATACCAACACCACCAGGGGACCCACCGCCAGCGAGGAGGTCCACAATGCCTCCCCGAGCCGGAGGCTTGGGATGCCTCGAGCGAGAGGGGGGACCACACCGCCGGGGAGACCCCCCTTGCCTCCTCGCATCTCCTCGCCCTGCTGGTGTTGGTGTCGCCTTTCCTTGTTCCTACGCCCGCCCGCGCGGCGAGGGAGGGTCCGACGGTGGTTGCGACGAGTGAGAAGGTTATGATGTTCCAAGCTACTTTAGCCTGGATCGCCAGAAAGCAGTTCCAGCACAGGGAGAGTACCGAAACTTGAAGGGCTTTTGCGTGTCGGGCCCTGGGAGACACTCGTTCGACACTTGTTCCTATTCCGTACCCATCTTGGGCGTCCAACATTCGGGGCGGAGGTCTCTCGCCTCTGCAGTCTCTTGGAGGCCCCCGCCCGGGCCCGGGACCGTCGAGAGACGACTCGGGGCGAAAGGCCGGGCCCAGGGAAAGTTCGGATGCGACTCCTGGAAGGTCAAATTCTGACTTTGCCCTGGTCCGAAATCCCGCTTAATCCCGTGTAATCCCGCTAAATCCCGCTGGGTCGGTTTCATCCCGTTGAATCCGGCTTAATCAGAGGCCCACTCCTGCGCAACAGCCCCCCAATGGGGCTTAATCCTCTTTAATCCTTCCGACGAAAACCTCCCAGTAGTTGCCTCGTAAGGACAGGGTCGGGACTTCGGGGACGCCGCCCTGCAAAAAGCAGGACGTCGCATGTCTGGGATGGAGTCTGACCCGAGGGTCGTGCAGCGTGACGATAGAGTCTGACCGAGGTATTCTAAGAAGACAACACGCCATAAACATAACTTTTTGGTGCGCCGCGCGGAGTTCGTGGATCCGTGCCGGGCCCACCGGCGGCGCCTACAGCGCCGCCCCTGGCGCGCTCCGCGCGCCAGGGAGGGGGGTCCAGCGCGGATCCAAACAATCCGCTCGGAGGTCCAATCGTTTTCGTTTATAGCGCTTGTTCTTAAACTTGTTACGTTGTCTGTTTGACTTGTTCTACGTTGACTTCTTTTACATTGAATTTCACCTGGACTACATCTGCAACGCACCTGAACTTCATTCGAACTACCTTACTCTTGACCCACACTTGAACTACACTTGAACTGCACTTGAAGAACCACGCTCGAACTGCACCTGAACTGCCTCGAACTGCATCTGAACGACACGACACTTGAACTGCACTTTAGTCACAGTGCGTACACCTGAACCACACTTGAACTACAACTGAGCCCACTTGGATCCACCCTTGCGCGCAGGCACGGGACGCTCTTAGCACGCGCGCCAGAACCCGCGATGGCGCGGTGGGCGTCCCACAGCAGCTGCAGGGCCCCCGCCCCCTGTCATGCTCGATCTGAGTGCGTCTCGCTCGAGCAGGGCCTGTCCCAGGGCAGGCAGGTACAGTGCCGTTTTTGATACATGCTCCGCGTGCGGATCATGTATTAAAAATGCAGGGATTTTGTATTAAAAACAACGATGACATACCACCCTTAGGGTGATAAGGAGGTTCGGGGGGGAGGAACCAACGTCTCACTCGATCGGTCTCACTATCGATCTCACTATCGATCTCAGTATCGGTCTCGCTCGATCCATCTCCCTCCATCGATCTCACAATCGATCTCACTCGATCTATCTCACAATTTATTTGACTATCGATCTCACAATCGATCTCACAATCGATATCACATTCGGTCTCACTATCGATTTCACTATCGATATCACAACCGCTCTCACAATCAACGTCATCATCATCATCAACAACAACAACATCAACATCAACGTCATCATCACCAACATCATCATAATCGGGACACCGTCCTCATCATCAACACCAACATCATCATCATCATCATCATCACGGTCATCAACATCATCGGGACACCACCATCATCATCATCACCATCATCACAATCATCATCAACATCATCATCATCAGCAGCATCGGGACACAGTCATCGTCATCATGATCATCAGCAGCATCATCATCGGGACACCATCGTGATCACCATCGTTAGCATCATCATCATCATCTTTATCATCGGAACACCATCATCATCATCATCTCATCCTCATCATCGACATCATCATCATCAGCATCATCAACATCATCATCAGCATCATCATCGGGACAGCATCATCATCGTCGTCATCATCGGGGCACCATCATCATCATTAACAACATCAGCATCAACATCATCATCATCACCATCGGGACGCCATCATCATCAACATCATCACAATCACCATCAGAATAATCATCATCATCGGGACGCCATACTCATCGTCAACCTCATCATCATCAACATCATCATCATCGGGACACAATCATAATCAGCATCATCAACATTAACATCATCATACTCATCACCATCGGGACACCATCATTGTCATTATCATGATCATCAACATAATCATCATGATCATCATCATCCTCATCATCGGGACACCATCAGCATCATCATCATCATTGTCATCATCATCATCATCGACATCATCATCATCATCATCATTATCATCATCATCATCATCATCATCATCATCGGGACACCATCATCATCATCATCGTCATCATCATCATCATCAGCAGCAGCATCACCATCATCATCATCGACGTCATCATCATCATCAACAGCATCATCATCAGCATCACCATCATCATCATCATCATCATCATCAGCATCATCATCATCGTCGTCATCATCGGGGCACCATCATCATCATTAACAACATCATCATCAACATCATCATCATCACCATCGGGACGCCATCATCATCAACATCATCACAATCACCATCAGAATAATCATCATCATCGGGACGCCATACTCATCATCAACCTCATCATCATGAACATCATCATCGGGACACAATCATAATCAGCATCATCAACATTAACATCATCATACTCATCACCATCGGGACACCATCATCGTCATCATCATGATCATCAACATATGATCATCATCATCCTCATCATCGGGACACCATCATCATCATCATCATCATCATCATCATCATCATCATCATCATCATCATCATCATCATCGGGACACCATCATCATCATCGTCATCATCATCATCAGTCATCATCATCAGCAGCATCACCATCATCATCATCATCGACGTCATCATCATCATCATCATTCATCATCATCATTCATCATCATTATTATTATCATTCATTCATCATCATCATCATCATCATCATCATCATCATCATCATCATCATCGCGGGACACCGCGGGACACCGGCGGGACACCGCGGGGCACCGCGGGACACCGCGGGACTTTCGCGGGACACCGGGGGACACCGCGGGCCACCGGCCGCCCGGAAGGGAGACATTTGGTCCGGCCGCGCCTCAGCCACACGGGACACCAGCGGGACACCGGCGGGACACCGCGGGCCACCGGCCGCCCGGAAGGGAGACATTTGGTCCGGCCGCGCCTCAGCCACGGGAGACTTTCTCTCGCCCGCCCACGCAGCTTCGCCTCGCCCGCACGCACGGCACGCACGAACACGAAACCGAAATCGATTTCCCGGTAGGGGGGCTCTCCGTTCCACTTCGATCTCACCCCCTCACCTCCGATAAATTCATTCATACATGAATCATGTATTACAAATCCTATATTCTTAAGAACTACTATGTATGAAAAACTGCCTGTACGATCGGGATCGAATCCCTTGGGCGCGCTGCCGCGGCCACCGTCGAACGCGGGGGCGCGCCGCTGCCAATTGCGGCGCCCACTGCCGAGCCGGGTCCGACGATGAGCCGCTCTTCGCAGCAGCGGGCCGCGGGCGGGGGGGCGCCTTGGGCCATGGGCGGACCGAGTGCGCGCCGCGCGTTGCGCTGCGTTCCCACTCGGCCCGCGACGCACGCGGCGCGCCTGAATCGCGCCCGCGCGCGCCATGTTGCGCGGGTCGGAGATGTGGCCGCGTATGGGCGGGGAGGGCACCTGGTGCGTGAAACGGTTTTGCACGGGGAGGTCGGCTGCTTTGGCGCGCGGGCTCGCGCTCCATTTCATTTCGCGCAGTCCGCGGCCCGTGTCATTGCGCGTGGCTCCCTGGGTTTGTTGGCTGCGTTTGTATTGCCGCAGGCCGCGCGGCAATCTGCGCGCCGCCGCGGTCGGCGGGGCGCTTGCGCGCTGCCCGAGCGGGGCGCGCTGCTGCGTCGCCGCCGGCATCGCGCGCGCGTGGAATTCCGCGCGGCCGCC